CTTTCTGTGCATCTGGTTATGGCACAGCCCAGCCGGCAGTTATACTAGATGGAGAGGATCTAGAAAGTGGGGAGCAAGAGCACCCTCTCCTCAGCTAGAAAGAGTAAAGACTGTATACAGGACTGCTCCTGTCAGAGGCTGGCAACTGAAGCTACATGGGTCATGGGAAGCTGGAAAACAGCTGTCAAGCAGTGAAATGGAAATAGATGAATGGGGAAAGTCCAGAGAAAGCCAGAGAAGAACAACAACAGAGAGCAGGGATAGAAAAAGTAGAACTGACAGGAACAAGACATGATACATTTACACTTGATACATGGCTTCACAGCTTCGTTGTGCAACTGGATGCCAATTCTAGGTGCAGCCATCATGCAGGTAATGGGGCAGTTTATGTTGGAGCACTTTTGCTGGCTGACTTGGAATCAAGGTACAATGCAGCTGCCTGGTGGCCTCAGCAGCAGGAAGCTTGGAAGCAGCTACAGTGGGAGGCAGGAAAGAGGCACAATTACGTGAAGCCCCAAGGCCAGAGCTATTTTAAATGATGAAGATTAGCCACATGTACAGGAGAGGACACTGAGACAAGTTCACCCTTCACAGTGAGGGAAAGGGTGAGAGAAAACAAACACATCTCTACACAGTCCCACCCATTCACCTCCTATTCATCCACAATGTCTGGCTGGGGGAGAGAAGAGATATGGAAATGTTCCTGAAGGCATCAGAGCAATGGTACCTTTAGGAATGGGAGGCTATCAGGTACTTCCCAATTACCCCTGCTCCAGGGCCTCAGGGCTGAGATTTTAATGCCACAAGGGATGGGAAACTGAATGGAATCCAGCAAGTTTTGTTCATGCTATATCAAGAGACCAAGCATCAGCATAAATCCCAGCTGGCACCACAGGGTGGAAGGGGAGAGAAGCTTTGGCTGCAGAGAGCTTTTATGGGTTGGCTTCAGTACCAGACATACACACCTAGAAAGAAGTGGTCAAGATACTGTGAACATACACAGTGTTTGTACATGGGGCATAAGCCAAGCAAGACATGAGACAGCCTGACGGGGAAAGAGCCTGACATGAAACAGCAAGAGGGAAAGAGCACTAGCTTCATGATGGACAGAGCAGCCAGTAACAAAATGAATCCTAGCTCAAGCCTATTTTAAGCCTTCTCTAATGGCCCGCATCACTTTTAATTTAAGTGGAGAAAGCCTGTGCCACAACTTTTTCCAGCACTTCTCTGCTGCCAGCTCCTGACTCAGTCCATGCATTGAAAAGGAGATGTTCAGATCTGCAGAAGGGGGTGGCAGGAGACAGGACATGCCCCTGGTACTGTACCTGTCTCATCATACACTGCAGCAGGCCCCGCATCAGTTTCACCACACTCTGGAGAGGAATGAAACAAACAGGCCTGTTAATCACATTGGGGGTGGGGGGGAGAAGAGACCTGACTCAGCAATGCCAGCTGGTCTGTGACCTTTCCAGCTCCCCCCGACCTGTAACTGGACCCATGGCTCTCATTCACTGTGGCATTTACTTTCTGGGCAAGCAGTGGAGGGAAGCTGCTGGGGCACAGCATTCTGTGAAGGACAAGATGCTGCAGCTCCCAAACACAGCACTGAGCAGTCCTAATTATTAGAGGTGAACTGATACATTGGTCTGATATCAGATCAGCACCAATATAAACAAAATTAAGTGCATTGGATATTGGTCTGACGTGGCTGATAATTTAGGCAATAAATGCCTGTGCATGCAGGCAGCTGCAGCATGTATGCAGCAAGGAGAGCTGCATGCTGGTAAGTCTGTTGTGGTGGAAGGGAAGGGGGAAGGAAAGGAGCAAATCAAGGCCCTCCAAAGTGAGGGAGAGAATGGGGCTGAGGCAAGGGGCTGGGGCAGGTGCTGCCCAGCCACTGGACAGAGCCGCGCTCATCTGGGGGGCATGGGGTGGGAGGGCAGCTCCTGCCGCTGGGCACACCCTGGGAGGGCACGGGGGGGGGATTACAGAATCATAGAATCAGTGAGTCGGAAGGGACCTAGACAG